TTTTCCGCGTCTCGGCACTCAGCACTCAATATTCGCTCGATTTGAGGCGGCAAACGAGAAGTGGGGAAAAAATGGCAAGAGAGAAGAAAATATAAAGTAGNTCAGTGTTCCAATCTCACTACTTTTTTGGAGTCTACCACAGAGCTTCAAATTGTAAGCAAGAGAGTGAGATTGAGAAGCTGATTGACGCCGTCAGATTTTTTTTTCGTTTTTTTGCTGCCGTTTTTCCGCGTCTCGGCACTCAGCACTCAATATTCGCTCGATTTGAGGCGGCAAACGAGAAGTGGGGAAAAAATGGCAAGAGAGAAGAAAATATAAAGTAGAGAAATGGAGATGGCTAAAAAGAAGGTAAAATATGTTGCAAGCAAAAATGGAAACATTTTGATACCTTTTATACATAATACATATTATACACTTTAAAACTACAAGCAAAAACTCTTGCTACAAAAAAACAAATCCCAACTTTTAAATTAATTAAAAAAAATAAAATTTTAAATTAAAGATGTGACCATTTTAGACAACGGTATAATCCAGACAAATTTTACTTAAAAATAAATAAAAATCCATTTACAGCTACAGCAGCAGCAGCAACAACAAACCAAAAAGAAAAATAAAAAAGAGCGGGAAAGAACAAACTTCCGCCAAATTACAAATTAACTGACCGCTAATTAGCGGCGAGGCGCTGAAAGGCGCGCTCAAACAGCAACAAAAAACTAAAATACAACTAGATGAAAGCGGAAAAGAAGAAAAATAGTCAACAGCCCTAAAACAGCCGCAACAGAAGTCGAATGAAAAATAGCAAAATCAATAGACACAAAACAGAGCAGAAAGCAAACCAACGAACCAGCAAACACACACAGAGAAGAACAGAAAAAACCGAACCAACAAAAACTAAACCAGCAAAGTGTACAGCAGCAGCAGCAGCAGCGGCAATCAAAACAGTAAAAAGGCAACCGAAAAAAAAATGAAAAGCTGATGGCGAATAAATGGAGTCAAAAATTCTAGTTCAACTTCTGCACCATCAATCTCTCTATCAAACAAGAAGGTTGGCCAGTGTTTTTCAGCCTCTCTTTTTTTCTGGTGTGACCAGCTGACGCCAGAGCTGACTCGAGAGTTGCAGTTGCAGTTGACTGCCGTTAAAAGGCAACTTTATAAAAAGAGAAAAAGGAACAAGAATTCATAATTAATAATTCGCACAGGGCCCAAATGTTTTGACAGCTTTTTAGGCCGTCGCCGCCGCCGCTGCTGAACAGTTTTCTGGTAGAAAAAAAATATGCAGAAAGTGCCTCTGAAGCACATTGTAAAAAGAATTCAGAATTCAGAACTGAGTGGCAGCAGTTTAGTTCACTTTTGGAACGTTTAGCTTAGGCTGCAGCCGATGTGCTGCTTCATCTTAATCGAATGTACATAAATCACAGTTTGAAATGTTAGAGGAGGAGGAGGAGGAAGTCGTTTGCCTAAAAGAGAAAATTATAAATACCGGATTTTGATAAAGACCGAGCTTGTTATGGCTGCCATGCATGGCGAATCGATTAGTGAATTGAAAATAATAAAAATAAAAAAGTAGAAGATAGATAGACCTTTTTTTGACGATCATAATTAGAAGTGAAAGATAATTTTTAAAAAATTTTTAACCGTTTAGTTCTTTATCTGACAGTTTAAACCAAAGTGAGACCTAATTGAGACAAAAAAAATTACAAAAAGCATGTTCAGAAAAAAAATCTACTATACAAAAGACTACTGCAATCAAAAAAGAGTGAAATCAAAAGTATAAAAATGGGGGGAAAAAAAGTTAACATTGATAAACCTTTTGAAACACAACGACAGTTAAAGAAAACTTTTTAAAAACAAAAATCCAAAAAACAGCAATTTCGAAACCACTACTCCATCTCCTGCAGCTCAAAGTACTCTCCTCGCTTCAGACAGCAAACTGCCCGCATGACGACCCAGACGACGGCAAAGGCGCCAATGGCGGCAAAGACGACCAGCGCCCCGGTGAAGATGTCCAGCAGAAGGACCCGGCCGGCGAGACAGAGCTGAGAATCGTGGTCCAGCGACCAGATCGGCTCGTGGCAGCCGCAGAATGAACCGGAAGAACCGGAACCGGAAGTTCCACCATTCCTTCCCCTCTTGAAGCAAATGACGTGGCCGCCGAAGCGGGCGGTGCACTCGGCGTCGGTGGAGCAGGGCACCACTGAGCAGGAAAAGTCGGTCCCATTTTGGACCACCATTTCGGTGCCGAGGCCGCAGACGCAGGAGAGAGAGGTAAAGTTGCAGATCGAGTGCGCCGGACAGTCGGTGTCGGCGGAGCAGTTTGTTAGTGATAAAGGTGGTGATAATGAGAGTGGTGATAATGAAGTTTGAGAGAAGGTAGGTGGAATGAAGGTCGTGGTGAAGAAGAGGAGGAAAAAGGAGGCAAACAAAGGTATTTTGGAGTTTGCTGAGGTTTTAGAGTTAAAGGTAGTAGAGGTGAAGTTGGTGGGAACCATTTTTAAAAATAAACAACGTGGAAATTCATCAACAAAAAGTATAACAAGTAGTAAACAAATCAAAATGAAAAAAAAGTATTTTTTTAAGAAGTAAAGAAGGCGACCATTTTTACCCTATTGCAACTGCACTTCCAACTAAAATTTAAAACATCAAAGTAAATCAAAGTAAAGTTTAAGCGACAAATGACAGCCTACTATTCAAAGGCGACAACTGTTTCAAAAAATAGTGGAATTGTTTTGGAAGCAGCAGCAGCAGCTAAACAAAAAACTGGCAAATCTGGTAATGGGAAAAAACTAAGGATGATGCAGGCAAACGATGCTGTCTTTGGGTGATCTCTCTCTCTTTGGTGCACTGACTCTACTGCAACAGCAGCACTTGAGAAGGAGAGAAAGAGAACATCAGAGTATATCTTATCAAGGCATTTCAGACTTATCAAAACAGAAGAGACTTCTCAACAGAGGGAGAGGGAGTAAAGTCCTCAAAAGAGAGTAAAAGAAAGAAGCAACAAAAAATAGTAAGCACTCAGAAGATAGAATGAACTGTGTAAATAAAAGTAGCAAAATATCGGCAAAATATCATCATAAACAAAACAACTTTCGCTGAACGCATTTCAAGTGTAAGAAACAAATGTTTAGGTAAAAAGTGGAAACCTTTTGAACTTTAATCAAGACGCACATACAAAATTTAAAACTAGAGAATCAACTTTAGCTCAAAACTAGAAAATAAAACGCACACTTAGTAGAGCGAGACTAAAGTGAGCAACTGAGAGCTCAAAGTACAAAAGCTGAAAGATAGAGAATTCACCTACCTCAAATCGAAGTCTCCAGAGACTTTCCTTTCGTCTGTTCGAGGCTTCGGCGTCGTCTTCCACTTCCACTTTTTCCTCTCTCGATCTTCTCCTAAACCAGGACCGATAGCGTCGAAGACCAGCAGTTCGAGGTACCATCATCATCATCATCATTATCTTCACCAGTTTGGCCATGTCCAAGAAGAAGAAGAAGAAGAAGAACGAAAAGATCTTTCCAGCGAGCAAAGTACAGTCGTCATCTGCTGGCTCGGAACAAAAGCAGAACTGGCCGCCGCCGCCACAGAGTGTCCAACTCAGCAGACAGTTTCGGGGCAGCAGCGCCCGCCTCCAGCGCTGCAGTGCAACAGTAGCCACGGTGGGACGCACTTCCGAGCTGGGGGCGGCAGGGCCCTGAGAGCACCAGCCGTGGCAGCGGCAGCAGCAGCAGCAGCAGAGCAAGTGGCAAACTCATTTGACAACAACACAAAGTTCTGGTCTTATCTCACACAATCTCTAGTCAAATCTTTACCACTACCATCACCACAGTTTATCAGCTTATCAGCAGGCCACAATTATCAGCCGCTAAATCAACCACCGCCACAGTAGCAGCAGCAGCAGCAGCAGCAACAGCAGAGGCGCTTGTGACGCTTCATCTTCGGCCTATTTTTTTTGTTTACCACCTTCGCCGCTGCAGTAATCAACAGCAGAAAACCCGTCCGTCTGGTTCTTCTTCTCTGAAGCTCCGAAGAAGAAGAAGAAGAAGAACAGCTGCTGCTGCTGCTTAACCTCATTTTTTCTTTTTTTCTTTTCTTTAAAGAAACAGTGTTTCTTTTTCAGCAGCAGCAGCAGCCGTCGTGGCCTTTAGCTCTTCTTCAATCAACAATTTACATTTACTCACTCATCATCATCGTTTGACGCTTTAAAAACACCTCTCTCCTTTCTCTTTGCTTGAACTTCCACAATCATCGTTTTTATCTTTTTATCTTCTTCTTCATTCCACACCTCAAAGCCGATGTTCAACAATCTCTTTAAAAAGTTTGGCAAGAATGGATCAGCAGGAGCAGAAGGAAGTCAAAATGGATCGGCTGCTGGCGGAAGAGTTGCTTCAAATGGTTCGACCGGAATGGTTCGACCGATGGGCCAGCACCTGCAGAAGAAGTTCGCACGGGGCATTCAGTACAACAGTAAGTCCAACCTTGAGATATTTTGTTTACCTGCTTTTTCTAATTTCGAAATTACCTTTTCCATCTCTCTCTCTCTAGTGAAAATCATCATCCGAGGCGACAGAAATGTGGGGAAAACCGCCCTCTTTCACCGCCTTCAAGGGGAGAAATTTAAGGAGGAGTACGTGGCCAGCGATGAGATTCAGGTACTGTTCCTGTTTTATTCTTAAATTCTTTAGATTCTAACGTATTCTTCTTATTTCCCCCAAAGGTCGCCTCTATCCAATGGAACTACAACGCCACCGACGACATTGTCAAGGTGGAGATTTGGGACGTCGTCGACAAGGCCAACAAGCGACGCGATCCAACCAAGGCGAACTCCCTCTCGGGAGGAAGCGTAAAGTTGAAGCTGAAGAACACCTCATCTTCCACCAACACCTCACCTTCGAACTTTCCTTCAAATCACGAACCAAACCACAACAGTCAACAACAACAAAACAATGAATCCTCAGCAGAAAATTCTACTCAACAACAAACATCAGGTCCAGCGCTGGACGCCGAGTTCGTGGACGTCTACAAAGGGACCCACGGCGCCATCTTCCTCTTCGACATGACCAAGCTGTGGACGTGGGAGTACGTCCAGCGGGAGATCAGGCGCGTCCCGCCCGGACTTCCGGTCCTGGTGCTCGCCAACCACCGCGACATGGGCCACCACCGGGTGGTGACGGCCGACCAGGTGCAGGGCGCCATAGACGCCCTCCTTGAAGAAGAAAGCGAGCTTGGGAGGTCTTCAAGAGGAGGATCTTCAGGAGGACCAGGAGGAGGAGGTCTTCGAATTCGATACGCCGAAGCCTCGATGCGCAACGGTTTTGGCCTTAGGTAAGAGAAAGTTTTGTTCAAAAAATCTTTCAAATTCTCATAACTTTTTTATCCCCTTCTTAGATACCTCTACAAATTCTTCAACCTCCCCTACCTCCACCTCCAACGGGCCACCCTCCTCAAACAGCTGGAGCGAAATGGCGCGGAAACGACCGCCTCCGCCCAAGAATTGGACGCTTTAGCCGACTCTGACGAGCACAACTACGACCTCTTTCTGGAGATGATCACCAATCGAAGGCGGCAGGCGGCCGACAGCGTCTCCGCTGCGAAGAAGGTCAACGACAGCGGCGAGGTGATACCGATTCCTCAAATGGCCGTCAATGGAAGTGGAGTTCATAAGAGCCTCTCAGTTCCGGGTGGACTTTCAAGCAATGGAGGAAGTTCAGTTAAGTCCAATGGAGTTCTAAGCAATGGGAGCGGCGGTAGTGATCAGGTATTTTCGGGAGTTTGGGAGTTTATTTGTGTCATCATTTGACCTTCTTTTTCTTCTTCATTTCAGCCCCCAGCACTTCCACTGAACCGACCCTCACCCTCGATCATAATCGGCGCCAAGCACCCGCTGCCGGCCAAGTTTCAGCAGCAGCTGAACAGTAGTTCTAAGGCAAAAAGTAGTTCCATCAAAACAATGCCCAACTCTCAGATGCACAAGTCCGCTACGATGCAATCGATTCCCTCCTCCTCCTCCTCCTCTTCCTCTTCAAATCCACAAACCAACAACAACTCAGCGGTAAAAAACATCG